GCCCCCGGCCCCTGCCTGCTAGTGGCAGCTTCTTGATGCCCTTCAGGGTGACGGAAGCCATTGCTGGTGACGGCACCTTGTGTCCTAAAACTGCCAGGGCTGGTCTCCCAAGTCCCAGCAGCCCTGCCGCGAGTGGTCTCTGACACGGCCACACACGTGGAGGCAGTGAGCGAGAGCAGCCCTGTGGGGCTGAGCCAGAGACCACGTGCCGCCCGCCCCGATGCCCCTGGTCCGGTGGCGCCCACGGGGAGGCAGAGGAGGCAGCGCAGCGGAGCCTGGGGGCGACCGTCTGCACACTTGTCCACATCTAAGCCACCCGCCCGCCCTGGATCCCCCCTCCTGCCCGCCACACCCCGCGCTGCTGTCAGGACCGATGCACCAGATCGACTACAGCACCACATCCCAGCTGCTGTCGCCTGTGGCTGATGTGGACCCCCCCATTGCCATGGCACACCCCCAGGTCACGTGCCTGAGCGGTGACCCAGCCTGCTGGGGGGATGGGGCATGGCCTGAAGACCCTGTAGGGGGTGCTCTCTCTTACTGAGAAGAAATGGATAAATAGACTTGAAGAAAAGCAAAATCATAAAAGCCGGAACACAGGGCGTGGTAGTTGAAGTGCTGGACTCCCACAGAGCTGACTGTGCTTCAAGTCCCAGACCCAGTGGCACGAAACTCACTCCAGGCGCATGCGCGTGTGTGCCCAAACGCCCAAGAGGAGAATGGGGGAGAAGGGACTGTGGCATGGCCGTCCCCCGGGGGCTGATTTTCAGTCTCTCTCTGTCTCTCCAGTGAGTACACGTGCCTTATAGCAGAAACCCCCCCAAAAGAATAATTATAATAAATAAAATCAAATAAATATTTAAAAAAATGACTGAGATGGCAGGTTGTTATGCGCACTTTACCCCAGTCAAACGTAAAGATACGAACAGAAAAGCCCCAGTGGGACAGAGAAGGCAGCCCGCTGTAAGCCATCTCCAGGAGGCCGAGACGAGGCTGTGACGGCGAGGGTCCCCGTGGGGACTCTTCCATCTCCCCGACAGCGTGCAGGCCACAACCACAGGGCGACTGGTAGTGTTGGGTCAACACAAGTCTCACAGCGCTGGAAGAGGAGGGTAAACGGGGGCTCGGGCCTGAAGCACTGCAACTTACACGACGACTAGAACTGACAGCCAGGTGCGTTGCACCCTGCCTGGGGGTGTATGGGGCCACAAAAGGAAAAATGCGCAGGCCAAGAGGGTGGTCTTGGTGCACACTGGGTGGTGGCTGTGGTCCGAGATCTGCCCGGCCATGCTTCGGCAGAGCCGGCAAGTGTTACCAGGGACTGAAAGGCCTGAGCCATGCGGCATGTGTTCAGGAAGCAGAAACCACAAAGCACAGAAAGTCCACAAATCTCAATGATGGGCATGAGGCAGCCACAAACTCAGGCCACGCCAGGATGCCGAGTAGAAGACAGCCAAGCACGCCTCATTCCCAAACAGGAAGGAGTGAAACAAATGGCTGGGCTTCCACAAACAAAACAGAATAAACTCAGGAACTGACAGAGATTGACAGACGACCATGTCCACTCTGATTGGAACTGACAGGAGAACACCTCCTTACACAGGGGCCAAGAGGGTGAACGCCACAGGGAGGGGACTGTCCACTGCTACGCCGAGCGGGGTGGCATGTTCCCAGGAGAATAAACAGCAGCTTCCCTGGCACGAGAATCCAAGTGGACCCATCCCCACGAAGGTACTGCAGAAGCCATCGGTGAGCTTCAGGCCACAAACGCCAGGCGTGGCTGGTTTTGCAGGGGAAGATAAAGCATCACCACCTAGCCGCCCAGCGCAGAGGGAGAATGAGACGTGCAGGGCTCCGGGAAGAAAACCCAATGCTGCTAAAAGCCACGAGGGAGGTGCAGAGCCCGTGAGGATAAGGAAGCGAAACTTGAAAGCGTCGCCAGGAGATTCTGTGGAGAGGCCTCTCGGGCCGTAAGGAGCACCACTCCTCCTGAACCCGGAAGACGCACAGCTGCGGACCTCTGCTCTGGGTTGGAAGGTCAGCGCCAGCCGTCGTGGCTTCGGGAGCATGCAGAGGTCTGCCAGTTGCTGGCGTGGCCTTAAGTGACGCTTCCTGAGCAGGCTGAAAACACTCTTCACACGGGGAAAGAAGATGCACGCTCTGTCCTCTCCCCCTGCAAACATAAAAGTGTAAAAACCTGCCCCCTCAAAGATAGAAGTGCCCTCGGACAGAGGAACAAAGCGGAGAGGACCAGCCTGGGAGGAGGGGGTGCAGGGTCGCCTGGCTATAGTGCCATGATGACCTTGTCATGGAAGGCAGAACTAGACACCAGCTCTACCGGAAACAGCGGCAGTGGGGACCAGGCATGGGCGGGGACCAAAGGAGCTTGCTCTGTCCACCTAGAAGCAGTGAGAGCATGAGGGGGTCCCCACTTACAGCAGCCCCCAAAGTGCAAGGTCCCCAGATACTGACTGATCCGCCGGAGACAGGGGACCCTGTGACAGCCTGCTGAGACGTGGGGTGGGAGTGGACTGCTGTGTGTTGAGCAGGTGGCCTTGACACTGGCCTCCCTGACCAACTAGGAAATTCAGTGCCACTGCCCTAAAATGCCCAAAGGGAGGGGCGATCGCTGAACCTGGCTGGAGAGCTGGGGTCACCGCCAGGGAGGCCGACTGCCCACGCCTAGCCAGGAGCCACCAGAGAAAAGCGCAGCGGGCGGCTATGCTCCCTGCTCTGCCCCCCACATCCTGCAGGTGCCATTGGCTGCCGCCTCCTTCCCCTGCCACCTGCCTTCTCTCCTGATCAGCCACATCAAGGTGCCCAGTCACACCTGGAGCCAGTCTCCGCCCTCCCCAGCTGCTGGAGTGAAGGGCAACCTGAGGGGACAGTCCTCTCCCTGGGCCTCCCCACAGCTCTCGCCATGAGCCTGGCCTGTCTCCCCGCGGGCTCACGGGCCATCCCTCCCTTCTGAGGTGCTGCGCTGTGAGGACATGACACTGCCCAGGATGTGTCCCAGCCCCGGTCTGCATGAGCACCACCTACCCTCCCTCGCCACTGAGTGCAAGGGGAAGGCCTGGTCCCCGCAGCTGCCATGGACGGGGCTGCCAGAGTCGCACACGGATGCGGGGAGCCGGGTTGCATGCGCACTCAGAAGAGCGGCTGTCAGCGCGTGTCCCAGATGTGGCATGAGACGCTTACAGGGACGTGGTGTGCTGTTCATCTGAAATCCCAGGTCCCCCGTGTCCTGGCTCTGCCCCCCATTCCTCCCTGCTTCCTCAGGCACTGGGCTGTTCCTGGCATCCCGCACCGTCGCCTCTGTCCTCACCGGAAGGCTCCAGCCCAGGCTGAGGCCACAGCCCAGGGCAGTCGGTCTCTGTGCCCTGGCCCACATCACCCCGTCTGACCTGCGGCCTCTGGATGCTTGCAGGAGCAGGCCCTCCTCCAGAACCAGCCTTGGCTCAAAGCCCTCTTCCCACCATGCCTCAGTCAAAAAAAGTTCCAGAAGGTTCTACGAGCCAGGACCTTGTGTGCTGCAGAGCCCTTCCCACACCCCTGCTCCGTCTCCTGTCTTCCTGCTCCAGCAGCACCGGGTGTGTGTGTGTGTGTGTGTGTGTGTGTGCGGGTCGCAGGGTGGCGTCTACCCAGCTGGGTGCTGGGGCATTCTGTGCCTGGTCACCCTCTGTGGTGGTGGCCATCTTGGCACCTGCCCCTTCCAGTCCTGATCCTACAGGACCCACCTGTGTGGTGGACATGACAGAAGGCACCCAGGGAAGTGGGGCGGTGCCTCCACAGCCTCCACAGCCTCCGCAGCCGCCCTCGCCCCATCCTCCCAGACAAGGGTTCTTCTGGAGGCCGTGTAGCAGCCCTGCGGTGACAGCCCTGAGCATCAGCTGAAGGAACTCTGCTCCCCAGCCCTCTCCCCGCCCCGTGGGGCTCCGGGGCCGTCCTCCCCCTGCTTCTACACCAGTGCCGGAGGCCAGGGTGGGGGACGCAGGCAGCCCCGCACCTCACTGGCCGCTCACGTGACTGTGTGAGTCGCTGACTCTCCCCCCCACCACCACCCCCGAGGAGTCTGGCTCAGGAGCCTCAGTGAGAAGTGCAGGGTCTGGGGGTACAGGGCCTGTGTGCTTGTGTCAGCGGTACCCCAGCTCCTGGGAGGGGTCAGCCCTGGGCCAAATGTGGGGCAATGAACTTCCTGCCCACGCTGGTTTCCAGAAAACTCAGCAACTCAGGAGCTGCTGACATAGGCTGGCTTGGGGCCAAACATGGCCCACGTCCCATGGAGGCACAGAAGGGTCCCCATCCCAGCTGGGGTCCAGGGCCGAGGGAAGGTTCCGACAGGCCTGGTGATGATCCCGCTGACGGTAAGGCAGCACTGGCCCTGGGGGGCAAAGTGGAGCCCACGAGCAGATGCTGGGACCTGACAAGGGCACAGAGGGAGCCCCAGACCCACCCAGTGCCCGAGTGACTCCAAGGACCTGCTCGGACAAAGCGGCTGAGAATCTGTAATTTAAACCTTGGTTAAGAGATATCTTGTAGGGGACCAGCTGATGGTGTAAAGGTTATGTCACTGGACTTCCCATGGAAATTAATCATGGTTTGAGTCCCGGATCCGGTGGCTTAAACTCAAGCCAGGTGTATGTGCGTGCATGCCCAGGATCCCGAGAGGAGAATGGAGGAGAAGGGATCGTGGCGTGGCCATCCCCCCTGGGAGGGGGGTGGGGATTTCTCTCTTTCTGTCTCTGTCTCTCTGGTAAGTACACATGCTCTATAGCAAAAAAAAAATTATATATATATACATACATATGTATAAATAAAGATGTCTTTCAGATGTCAGAAAGAAAAAGAAAGATAAAGCCATCTTGATAAAACAGTCTCTCCCTGAACAACAATAACTTCATTATGTTCTGTGAATGAGTCTGCGGGTGGGAGCCCGCCTCTCACCGCTGTGTTGACATAACCCTCCTTGCCAAGGAGGATCGTGTCCTCTGGAAATAGCAGTCTGCTAGTCCATCCTGGGGCAGGGAGAGCTGGAGATGGGGCACTCCTCCAGAGGTGCCATGTGTGTGTGTGCACATGTGTGAGAGTTTGGGGGTGGAGCAAGTGGGTGGGCCACGGGCACGCTCAGTGTGGGAGGCTGGGAACCGGGCAGGCCCTGTGGGCGGCATCATTGCCTTTTCGATTTGCCATGAAGGAGCTCCAGTGCAGAGGTGGGCCGCGCAGGGCAGAGGCAGGCACTGCAGGAGGGGCCCTGCAGCAGGTCTCCCTCCTCCCTCCCAGCCCTTCTGGGCATCCATCTAGGCCGCAGCATCTCCGCTCTCGGGAGGCTTCTTTCCCGCATCCCCAGTGGAGCCCCAGGTTCTGGGCAGGGTTCCCACAACCTCCAGGTGTGCTGTTTTTAGAGACCCTTGCCCTGCCATCAGCCAGGATGGACACCCAGTGCAAAGGTGATGAGGTCACAGGTGTGTAGCCTGTGTGCTCCTCTGGGGTTCACAGGTGCCAGGAGCGCCCTGTCTGTGTCAGGGTTTGCAGGACAGGAGGGTGACACTCAGGTCCAGCCCAGGGGAAGAGACAGTTTTTCCCAAGGGCTCCAGTAGAAATCATTCGGCCTCTCTGGGACAGTCCCAATGGCCAGGCCTGGGTCAGGGCCCACTGAGGGTGCCGCCGCCACACCACCTGGACCCCAGGAAAGATGGGCTCTCAGCCTGCAGGGAGGGGCAGAGGCAGGCAAGTCGGGGCTACATGCGTTTTCACTGGAATTCATCCTACACGTGGTCCCCATCACACACTGCCAGGCACCAGTGTTAACTGATCAGATGCTAGAAGTTCTCCTGGAAACACACGCACGCATATACACAAGAACAGATTTTCCGACTAGCTATCTGCCTTCTGTTGAGTCCCCCGAGACGTTCCCTTGCCGTGACCCACACACCACCTTGCGACAGAAATGCCTCTCCACAGCCCTGCATGGACTGACACTGCGCATGCTGACCGGCATGTGCCCATGGAAGGGAAAGACCCTCCAGACATTTCTCCCTGCGGCCAAGCACTGAGGGGGCAAATAAACACACGGGTCAGTCAGCACACCAGAATCCTCTGGGTCTGAACCCCAGTGTTAGACTGAGTCCAGACTTAAAGGGCTGGGCGGGCTGCGGCAGTTCCCGTTGCCTCTCCAGGAATGTCCCAGTCGTTTCCATTCTGCAAAGCTCTGTTTCAGTAAACATTGCAGACGTTCAAGCAAACTAACAGCCCAACCGTCCAACAGCCAGGGAAGGTGGGAGTTCCCGGGAATGACAGCACTCACCCAGTGAAGCTGGCTGTCCCGTCATCCCAGAGTGACCCCGCTCCCCTGGAAATGTCCTTCTTTTCTGGTGGATGAAAAACGTTTCCATGGCTGTATGCAAAACTCCTGAAACGCAGTCACACGAGTCCCCATAACAGTAGCACACCGGCTCCGCAGGGCATGAGACCTCTGCCTCGGAGCGAGGTCAGACACCGCACGCGAGGTGAGCACTGAGTAACAGCTGGCCTGTAACGCTGTCATGGTAAGTGCTTAAACCTGTGGCCGAGTGTACTTAAAGAAACTACTTCGCCATTCCGGGTAGCAACGTCTCCATCACCAAGGAGACCTGGCTAGTGCTACGGTTTAGGAAGGAAACAGCATGTGCTTAGTAATTCTCCTAATTAGAGCCAGGCCCTGTCGACATTCGTCTACTGATAACCTCATACAGTGCTGTTTGTTCTTCTGCAGAGCGACATTAGCCAGACCACTTAGAATGATGTTAAGATGACAGGGCTTTGGCCTTTTTGGAGAACGAGAACTGTCTTCTTGGTAAACAAGGGAGGTTTATATGTGATCATGACATGATGTTTTATTTACACAAGCGTTCGCGGGTGCAGCCTCCGGACACCAGTAAAGAATATCTATTTATTTATGCAATATAAATATAAATATTACACAACCCAGTTCTGTGCCTTGTTAACAGAAATGTTCATTTCTCAGGAAACAAAAACACAAAGTCCATGCCAAGTTAAATGGATCGTAATACAACAGAAGAACATAAGACAAGATTTTGGTTTTCACGTAAATTCAGCCAAGACGGAAATGGCAGGACAGTTCCACCTTATGTCACACCTGGGGCAGGCTCAGCACTTTATGTAGAGCTTTACTGTCAGGGACGAGGACTCGCCTGGCTCCTTGGAAAACCTGGGCCTCCTGTCCTCCCTCTGCTGAACAGCTGCAAGACATGCCTGCATGAATGGCTTCCCTAGCTACCGTCCGGGCCGTCTCCCCTCATCGTCCCAGCAGCGGCGGGACCAGGGCAGGTGCCTCTGAACATCACCTGCTCTGGGGAAAGGCCACCAGTCCCAGTAACAACCCGGGGCCTTCCGGTGGGCCTGGACTCTCCCTCTGAAGAACCTGTCTAGTTTGCAGTAAAAGGTCGTGACACACACGCACTGCGTCCAGCAGCCACAGTGGCCTAGACAGGCCCACTCAGTGCTCTGTAAAAACCACGCAGACGGGAGCGAGGACAGCTTCTTGCTAAGTCTGCGTGGGCTCCTGCAGCCACAGGGTTCAGTTCGGAACCTCAAAGCAGAACGCCGAGCGTGTTTAGCCCCTTCGCCCCGGGTCCTCAACCCGCTGAATTTCTCTGTCAGAAGCGCCAAGGTAACGTGCAAACCGAAAGAGCAGGCGAGCGCCGCGAGAAGGAAGGCGCTGGTCTGGTCTCTGCAGAGGAAAAAAAAAAAAGTGCTGCCTGCCACGAAGCCTCGGGTTTTCAGCGTTGACTTGTTTCCCCAGCCCGCTCTGCAAGGTGCCTGCGTCCAGGTGCCCACGCCCGGGAGCCTGCACTGGCAGCTCCGGCGGAAAACGAAGGTGCGGGGCGGGAGCACCCGCGTCCAATTTTCCTTCCTGAAAACAAGTTCTCTGGGGTGCTGGGCAAAGTTGCACTGTGCCTTTCGGAAGCCCTGGCTCCCCCGACGTCGCCTGGGCCGGCCGTCCCCGATTAGGGCGCGCTCTGGGGGGCGCCGCGCTCGCAGACCCCTGCCCGCACTCCCC